TGATGGTTAACTTAGGGTTACCAGACATCCAGGTTTTCCTAGACATGTCCTCTATTTTGGCCCTCTGCCGTCTGTCTGGGAAGGTTTTTAAAATGCAAGCAAATGTCTGGGTTTTTGCTCTGCCTCTGCTTTTCCAGGGCTTGGGGGGAGTGGGGTATCAGACCCCAATGCTGACTTGACAGGGGATGGAAATAAAAGCTGCAGTTGCTGCCATCCTGGTACCAGTAGGAATTGCGGCAACCAGCCACTGCTGCTGCCCATTGCATTGCTGCTGCTCAGGGTGCAGAACTGCCCAGCTACTCCTCAGTTCATTAATAAAGTATGGCTTGTTCCCAAATCATCTTCATACTCAGATGAAGTTTGGAATTGCCTGTGGACTCTAGTGCACCATTTCTCTTGGGTAAGGGCTAGCAACAGACCCAGTCTCATTCTCCTTTCTCAGTCTGAGTTGTTTAAGTGGATTTTTATTTCAGATTGAAAAGTTGAAACTACTTTCAGTCTAATGTGACTTTTAATTCAGATGCAAGAAAACAAGAGAAAGTGAAGTCCAGCCTCCAGGAGGACAGCTCATGGGACTCCTCTGTCACTGCAGTGGTACACAGGATGCAGCCATTTTGTGCTTAGAACTGCTGCTTTCAAAGTGCTTAGAAATTTGAAGGGGCCATACTCTGAAGACCTGGGCAAAAATTCATTGACACTTTTCTCTGGATAAAACTTGAGGAAAGATCTGACTTTCGGCCCATTTAGAATTGCTGTGTGCAGCTGAGATTCAATCTGTATAATTAATTGCATCCCAGACCTCGTCCATTTTGCATGAGACCTAGTCTCAGCGTTGTCTTTGGCATGTGTAGAGAACCTGTGAAGCCAACTGTAAATTCCATGTCAGCGTCATTTAAAATTAAATGAGTTGTGATTAATTAAATATGAACATAAATAACACAGTCAGTGAATAGCTCTACCATTTTTTTGGTCTTGATATTAAAGTCAGTGTCTGGGGAGATGCAGGAGGCAGTCTGGGACTGTGAGATAAGCATTTTTGCCTTAAGTTGCCATCAACAGTGTTCAGCAGTGAAACAGTTAATGTTACATCAGTTGTCATTTGTAGGTTTTAGAGTTAACTCGCTCACTGTGATGAAGGAGGCTGTTTGGACCCCTCAGCTCTTTTTCAGACTTTCAGGGGACTCAGACTGCTATTATTAGACCTATTTGTACTCAGTCAATTGTTTGGAGGTTTTCTCCCCAGCTCAGAAAGCTAGAAACAAAACTTGGGGGGAGAAAGAAAAGCAAAGCAGAGCCAAAGCTGAGACTTGAGCACAACTCTGCTGCGAGAGGTGGATTCCATGGTAAACTGTAGTCTGGGAACAGGGAATATCTAAGTTGTAAGTGTCTGATTTTGCAAGGCATTGGCCAGTCTCCAGGAAGCGACTGCTGATGCTATCAAGAGCAGGATGATTAGAGAACACATTTTATATCCTGCTCTATGCTATTAGCTCTGTCACTTCAGATCCAGCACTCCCACAACTCAGATCTATTTGAGAATCAAAAAAAAGCAGTGCATCAGGCAGGGAGAATACCATCCAGGCCAGTGTGCACTTCAGTCTCCTTGTCTTTTTTCCCAGGGTCAGAAGTCATGTTCACTGATGCTGAGGAGTACAAGTGGCATGACCCAGCACTGTGGCATGCTGCCTCCTCCCTGGAGGACCTAGAGCAAGGCAAATACCTCTTCTCAGTGGATGAAGAACGTGTCCCGTGCCAGCACGATGATGTTATCTTTCAACCTGAAACCTCCTTCCGAGTAAACATCGACTCCTCAGAGCAAATGATTCATCTCCAGAGTATCTCGATAATGGGCCAGGTAACGTGGAACAATTGAGAAACCAAACACATCACCCCCTCCATTTCAGAGCCTGAAAAGTAGGTCATGAGAACAGAAAGTGCAGTGACACATGCTAGGCAGGTTAGTGCAGGTCAGTTATAACAGCCTGCTCCGTACCAGGTATGAGCTTGACATTAGCACCCTGTGGAGCCAGATTTCCCAAAGGCCTTTGACCTTGGCTTCTAGAGTTGCAAACCTGTTTTGGCTTATGCATCTGAGAAAAAAATCAGATGTGTGAATGCAAGGTGGACAGAATTGTGCAGCCTAAGTGATTGAAACACTCCCCCTGACCCTGCCCTACACACCCCAGGGCCATGCAAAGACAGTTTCTCAGGTCAGCTGTACACAGTGAGAATTTTTTTATGTGACGAGTCAGACAGGGGTTATTAAAGTACAAGAGAAAGAGAGAGAGACTCTTGGGTATCTATCAGAGGCAGCTCTGGTTGATTAGAACAGGAGTTCATATTGTTTGGGGGGGTTAAGCTTCCATGTCCCTCCATCTCCTTACTGGCCAAACATGATCTGGAGGTAAATTGCTTTTAGTAAGTATGGCACTATCTCTTGTGCCCCAGTCCAGAGGTGTTCTGTGCATGGAAATTTGGGTATGTAAAACTGAGCGTACCGCCTCAGAACCTGCTGTGCTATGCTGTGTCCTCACCGTGTCTGAATCCAAAGGGAAAGATCAGATCCAGCTGCTGAGAATGGTGTGATGGCCGAGTGGTTAAGACTCAGGCTCTGGAGGCATGAAGTCAAGCCCTGTTCTGGGCTCATGTCAGAGGCTGTTCCCAGTTGACCCAGCTGTAAATGGGTACCTGGTCCTTCAGGGTGGGAAGTCAAAGGTGCCTATATTAGCAGTTCCCAATCTGTGGTATGGGTAACACCAGTGGTACGCAGGCAACCTGTCAGTGGTGCATGTAAATAGATTTATTATAATTACTTCATATGGCAAAAATTTGCTGGTGATACTTAAGGTTGTGTCATTTTAAATTGGTGGTGCGCAATCTGTCAGTTTGGGAACCTCTGGCATCATTTCCTGGCTTGCTGTTGGCTAAACAATTGGTGTGCCTTCACCACACTAGCTCAGTGGGTGGCTAGGCTTTTGGATAGCCTGAGGTAGTAAAGCCTGTGGTCCCTGAAGCAGTGAGTATTGGCTGTTTCATGAAGTGGGAGATATGCCTGGCTGGCTCAGGAACTGTTGTTTCTATCACAGCAGTGTGAAGGATCTCATGTCTGGGCCCAGGTTACCATTGCAGAGCAAGGAGCTTGCTGTCTAGGTAATCATGTGACCTGGGATAGGCACACCCATGAATTCCTGTGGGTTTGGACACAGTGGGAGCTGCTACATGTGAATATTAAGGCGACACAATAAACTATGGCGCAGTTTGCACTGGAGCTTATTGCTCCTGGGCCCAGTGTTTACTCGTGCACCTGGGACTGCAGCACACTGAGCTGGGGTGGTGCAGTCCTGGCTGGCAGGGGATCCAGGGGCTCAGCTTGCCAGCCTGGGGCTGGTCCTGCCCAGGTCAACATGCTGCAGAGGGGCTGGCTGGGGCATGAGGGTGCTACAGCGTGGGGCAAACTGGCAGGCAGCCCTACAAAGTAGCACCCTTGTGCCCCAGTCAGCCCCAGTCACCATCTACACATGCATTGTGGCAGAGTAAATAGCTTTGCCAGAGAATAATACTTGTATTGGGCAGTACTATCCTGTGGCGGAGTTAATTAGTTTACTCAGGCCTAATAGCACCACTCATGTAGACAGTGATGCTTTACTGTGGAGCTAATTTAGGCAACTCCGCAGTAAGTATCTTGTGTAGATGCACCCGATGTCTGGGTGTCTGTATTGTCTTGAGGGTTGGACCTAGGTGCCACAGTGCTGTGCTGAAGAAAAGCCCTGACCAGAATCAGGCTAGTGGCTTCGTGGAAATTACCTAGTGGCCTTCTCACCTTTTGTCCCTTCCAGACTCATTAGTTCTGGCACAGACAAGGCTCTACTGACTTGCTCATTAAGACTGAAGAAATGTCATGCATTGGGACCCTTAGAGACAGTAAAGCAAATCACTTACTATTGCTGTTTCTAACGTTATTTGGCTGATTGGCACAGAGGAGGGACCACCGCAGTGTTGTTGTTGTGTTGTTTTTTAATATTCTAGATAAGTTTCCCCGGTTTGGCTGTGTCCAGGCTGGGACCAACCACTGTTAGGAAGCAGCATAGATAAGACAGCATTCAAACTGAGCTCACATAATGTAAGAGCACATAGAGGAGAGTTTCATTTGTTTCCCAGTATTGTATTGACAGGACCAAAGAGGTATTGAACAGACCAGGCTGGCTCTTCCGACATCAATGACAAAGCTTCTGTTTTGTCTCCAAAGAGACACATTGTGGGCACATTCCTGGAAGGAGCACCCCAGGTCATCAAGTCCAATTTCCTGCTATCTCAGACTACCGCGTTCATGAACTTCATATAAGGAGGCAATATGCAGAGGAAGACAAGATGCCACTTTGCTGATTGTACCCATATTTTTAAGGGTTGACAAGATAAGGAAAAAAAACAGTTTGTGTCCTCTGCACTCATGCGTTCTCCTCATCCTACATAGGGCATAAAGAAGATTTGTTTTACTCTTGTCTTTTGTCTTGCAGCTTGTCTCACCTGTTTTTCATGGCAGACCCTCTCCTGGTCTCACGCAAATCTTCCCTTGGAAGGTTGTATGGATGAGTGGAGAACTTGAGAGCAGCTGGGATTTTCAATCAGACTAAAAGGCTGATTGAGTTTTTGCTAACAACTATATTACTGAAAGGCCCAGTGATCTGAGGGGAAAATTCTCTCTGTTAATGATTCAACAGCCCCATCCATGCAGTTTAAGATGGTTTAATCTTCCATTGTAATTCTTTGGTCTTCCAAGGAGACCTCCGGGAAAGAGAAAACCAAGTGTCAGAGTCCTGATGGTTCTGAAGTGAAGTAAAAACGCCACTATTTTTTACTGTTTCTTTAATTTGGAAAACCTTTCAGGCCCTCCTCAGGCCCTATCATCCCAGGGAGAGGGACAGTCCTGGTAATTTTCCTTTGCCGGTGGCCTGGGAGGGAAAGGGCAAGGTTATGATACTTAACTCCCTCCTTCCCTGTGTGCAAAGCCTGTGCTGCCTTGCTGCTCACCTGATGCCTAGCGAAGTTTCACACCAGTGTTCCCTGCTTTCAGGAAAGGCTAATTTTTTAAAGATTTTCTCTGGTTGGGGATTTAGAAGTTCACCAGCAACGAAGCCCTGGCTGAGTACATGCAAAGCGGCTCTGCCAAGCTGCAGTTTCATGGCAACGGGACCTTCCAGGTGCTGAACGACGGGTGTGCAGACAAATCCGGCTGTGACTGTGGGAATGCCAAGGTGAGCTCTCCCGCTGCTGTTTGACAAGCCTTTACCTGCTGCCTGGAAACTCCTTGTTAGTTTGGGGGCTGCATGGGTGTCCTCGAGCTGCAGACACGAAGCACTGAGCTCACGCGGGGCTCTGCAATCTCTTTTCTGTTTGCCAAACTGAATAAAAAATGGAGCTGAAGCAGGTCCCCAGGCAGCCCTGGGTCAGAGTAATTTACTCTATGCTTTTACTTAAGGAACGTCAGCGGATCTGTGGAGCTTTGCTTGGTGACTCTGGGGATCGGTGCCCAGCGCTGGAGTGTAAGAACCCTCTGCAGCCGGTGGGGCATTGCTGTACAATATGTGGTGAGTGCCGAGTTAGGCTCGTAGCCATCCCTGGCAGACTGTCTGGCCTCCTTGCTTCTCATGATACCCACTGCCTCAGCGCTAGGCCTTAAGTGGTGGTGCTCAGCCCTGGGGGAAGGCTGGCTCTTTATACTACAGCTGTACTGGCAGCAGGTCTCAGAGATGGGAAGGTTGGGGAGACCGAGCGTGACATGTAGACTTGTATGCACCAATTTTGGGCCTGATCCAGAGTCCAGGGGAGCCAATGGAAAAACTCCTATTAGTTACACTGCATTCACTGCACTGCATTCAGGACTCCCTTAGGGTGGAGTTTCTCCAAGATGAGGCATAACCCTTACTTCACTTACTGAAGCCCTACATTTTTTCCTCAGAGATCTTAAGCATCCCATCAGGGGAAGGCTTTTCCATGTTATTCCTTCCACTTTATTTCTTTTTTTAAATATCAAAGTGTGTAACAATTTCTGTTAGTGGTCTCCTGGCTAGACAATCACCTTGCCGGGGTTGTTTGACCCCAGGACTCTTTGCTGCCATGGCAGGGGGTCGGGCGCAATGATCTGCTCAGGTCCCTTCCGACCCTACAAACTATGACACTAACTATGAAACTATGACTTGGCAGCTTCCAATAATGCAGTAGTTGTGGCAGAATTTGGTCCCTCCAGACCTGAAACCCCGTGTGCCTGACCACTTTTGCTTTGTTTTGCTTTGCTTTAGCTTGGCAAGCCCTTGACTGCTTTGGCTTAGGCTCATGAGTATTCACTGGCTGAATGGTCCCAGATTTTGCATCACACTTTCTCCCTACTCCTCCCCATCACCCCCACCCTCCCTAGAAAATGAGATTGAAAGAAATGTGGAAAGCAGTGCATTTTAGGGCCTGGTAATGCCAATACCCCTTTTCAGGCAAGGCCCCTAGTGGATTTTTGCTCAGGGTTTACCCACAGCAACTGACAGGATGGGAGCATGGGCTTGCAGGATGATCAGGACATAGAGCAGCCAACGCTTAGTGCCCTTGTTAGTGCCCTGACATCTTACAAGCACGACATAAATACTAACTAATCATTGAAGTGAGGGGATGAAGCTGGTAGTTGAGGTCCGCCTTCTGACTTCAGTGGGAGCTGGGGTGGGAATCCAGCCACAGCGCATATTCATCTGCTTTTGTTTAAAAGGCTAAACATGAATTTGCGGGGCTAACACTGGTGCTAGGCACTTGTTTAAGGAAGTCAGTGTCAGGGCCATGGAGCAGTGAGTTCAAATCAAGCCCAAATGTTGCAACACGATTATGATGGGTTTGGGCCCATTTCTGAAGCCTGAATTACCCAGAGTGCCGAATTACGCTTATGCCTCTACACCGCTAACATTCAAACTCTATCCTGGACCATGGCCCTGTGTCTCTCGTTTTTATGAATTCTTCTGTCTGGTTTATTATATTGGGTTGTCATAAACCATTGAGTGAGTTGAAGCTGGGAGGATCTTGTTCTATTTTGGCATCAGGGTTGACACTAATGGAAACTACCCAAGGCAAATGCACTTTATTTCTTCAATAAATGTCATCTTTACGACCTAGGCTAAATTTCACTTGAAATGAAAATGTACCTAACGGTTTGGCAGAGTTTCTTCTATATATGGGTGCTTATCTGCTAATCTACCTGGAAGGTTAATGGGAGTTTTTTTGTACACAGTTATAATCACCATCATGCTAAATTCATTAAGGCAGCAACATATATTTCTCAAAGCTGTTCATAGGAGCAAAACCCTTTAAAGCAATTAATAGAACTTCATACTTCAGAAACTTTGGCTTGTGCTTTTCAAGGGAAAATTTTGTGTCAATTAATGTAGTTCCATTGACGGAGGGAACTGAATTTGCCCTCTCTTATGTTTTAAAACTAAAGATCTCCAACTGCTTTACAAACACCTCTGAGTTTTCAAGGACCTCCCCCTCCCCCAAACATATACACACACTTTGAGAACTAGGGGATAGTTCATAAGGGATGAAAAAACTCTAATAGGAACGAACCATTTTGGATTTTTAAACTGTAAGAGACTAGGAAAGTTTCCTTCTGCAAGCTTTTTAGCAAATCACTGTCAATATTCCCCTTTTCGGGGTGCTAGAATTATACCAGATGATCCAACAGGGCTGAAGAATTGTTGGTGACTCTTGTAGCAATCTGTATCTTGATTGAATGTGGAAAGCACATCGATCCAGCAACCCGCCTGCAAGGTGAGGTGTCCCAGTAAGTACAAAATCAATGAGCCTGCTGTGTTGTCTTGTCTTTCTCCCTTTGAACTGCAGGAGCCACTATTTCACTGGAATACACTCCACAGTTTGACATTGGGCAGTATCGGAACAGACTTCTTCACGCCTTCCTGACCCTGGTACGCTAGTCTATTTGGAGAGAGGTTGTGAGTATGTTGTTAAAATAGATACCAGGAAACCTTGCTAATATGCAACTCAGTTTTGTCATATGATTTATAGCATACTGGCATGAATGATATGCCAGTGAGGTCAGAGTGCGTACCTCTGTGTGAGACCATTGTGACTGGAAGGCAGGGTGTGCAGGAGCTGTCTGTAGCCCTGGCTTCTGACCTCCAACAGGAACTCAGCTGCAGGAGCTCACAGACATGAGTTCTGGGTTCAGCTGGCTGGCAGGAAGTCCCTATTTCCCATCTGGACCATTACAGTTTCCCTTGTTCCCGGTCACATCCAGCTTCCCCTCTCTGTACGTACTGAATGGTTACACATAATGAAGGACCACTCACTGTTTGCTGACTTGGGTACATGAGACCTCTCACAACTGTCCTGTGGCTCTGTGCAGTGTTTGCTACAGGCATGGTGGGCTAGTGGTTAGAGCAGTTAACTGGAACTGGGAGTCCTGCATTTGCCAGTGGGTGACCATGTATAAATTACCTAGCCTTTCTGGTTCTGAGTTTCCCCAGATGTAAAGAAAGGGGCATGGGTTGCAGAAAGGAAGTGCTAGAGATGGACTAGGTTGTAGTATTTTCACACTGAGGTCAACCACTTCCTCCCTCCTCTATTTGACACAGTGAGTCCTGCTTTATGCTGTCTGGCAGCCTGGGGACCACTGGATGCAGAAATGCCTGGATCTTCAGCCACAGTTTTGAGCAGAAACACTGAAGGAGACGGCAGTGGGGCAAGGTCTCCAAGCTGTACTGTAGAATGGCCAGGCCCTGGGGGTACCTGGGTTCAGATACCTTCTGGTTCCTCACGCCCAGCACAGACCCTGTACTGTCACATGGAGGAGGACATGGGTTGGAGAGTTTTTCCATAACAGATCCTCTGGCTCAGCTTCTGCTCGACGACAGTGGTGTGTAGCTGCAGAGTAACTCCACCGCCTCTGAGAGAAACTCTGCATGTGCACCAGTGCCATCAAAATCAGAATATTGCTGGGGTGCTGAGGGGACGTGGCTGAGAGTCTGGCTTCTGTCATCTTTCTGACCATCTGATTATCCATATGTTATTTAAGGGGTGTGCTAAGCACTGTGTGTACTTCTACAGAGGCCAGATGGAGAGATCCACCTCCTGTTGATTTTGTAGGGGAGCAATATTCCTGCATACAAACCCAGCACTGACTATATTACCTTGACATTTGCCCCTGGTGTGTGCTGCTCACAGGCCTAGAGGGAAAAGTGGGGCATAAACCATGTCACTTTGAGAATGCGGTAGTGATGTGCGATTCATGGCAACAGCAACTCTTCAATGATACTTACATTAAGATTTATAGACAGTGCTTATTGGTGCATCTATCATAGCTCTCTATAGAGATGTCCCAGTCAACTCTGCCTGACGACCTAATGCATTTTCTGTCTTTCCTGGCATGAAAAGCCCAAATATGCAGGTGTGCAGATGGCCATATCCAAGGTGCAGAAAGGGCAGAGCTTTCTGGGACTTGTACCACGGGGCTCAGTTCCAGTCATCCAGATTGTGCTAATTGATGATAAAGCTGGGTCATGGATGGGGACTAATGCTGAACAGCTGGCTGAGGACATCATGAGTGACATAGCAGAGCACGGTAACTGGTCTCAGTCACCTACTGTACACACTTGCCCAGATACCACAGGGCACTCTAAGACAGGGGTTGGCAACATTTTAATCTTGGTGGCCCACCACATATGACCTGGCCACCATCACAGGCCACTGATCTCCCCAAAGGACAACCCCCTCCAATGTGCTGCTAATGAGACAATGCGAGGATCGTGCTCCAGTAGCTCCCATCCCCTCATCTGCCTCACTCCTCCACTTCCACCTTGAGAGGCCCTGCCACAGCAGGGGAGGTATCAGTGCAGCCAGCAGCCCCAGGGTTAATGCAGTGGCTGCTGATAGCGGGGCTCACCCCCATTACCTAATATCCTGAATGCTGTCACCAGTAACAATTGGCAAAGGCAAATTCAGTGGTGAGCAAACCAGTGGCTACGGTAGAGGGGCTGCATTTACTCCCCCGTGTTAACCCTCTGTTGCCCATGCTGGCACCACCTCCCACAGCAGTGGCATCTCCCACAAGGTGGAGGTATGAGGGGACTGAGGTTCTGGAACGACCATGAGCACCTCAGTTGGCCATCACGAGCTGGACCCAATCTCTCTGCAGGCTGGATCTGGCCATAGGTTGCTGACCCCTGCTCTAATGCAAGCTGCAGAAAATCAAGTGACAGTGTAATTATCAGTGTCCACTAGCCCATGTGGGGCACTTCCTGCATCCGTGCTTAACAACTTTCAGCTTCACCATGCTTTGCATACACCAGCCTAGGTCAACAGACTTCACCCCAGTGGCTTATCTGCACAGAGGGCACTTCTATGATTATTTAGCTATATGGTAAGGGGGCATGCTTGTAGCAGTTTAAAACTGGTTTAACTGGGCTTGTGAACATACAAGAGTAGCCCCACATAAAATCATGCCATTCACTGAGCCTTCTGATCTTACCTACACACAGCCTGCATTGCTTTAGCTACGCCAGTGTAGCAGCACAGTTACATCAGTACAGCCCTTAAGCAGATACAGTCAGAAGGGCTAAAGGTGCTAATGCCCAGATAGCTTATTCCTGTATGACAGCATTTCCCGAACCTCATGGATTTTTGCTTCACTGTTGGAGATTGGGCACTCTTACCCTTGTATAACTGGGTCCCCCACAGGATTGTACAGCCCAAGTACAGCTAACACTTCCTGTGCAGTAGAGATGGCAAACAACTGTGATGTTGAAGAACTTTTCTATCTAAATTTGAAATTTAGGCCAGGCTATTTTTTTAGAAGCCTAAAGGTGCATTCAGGAGCCTAATTTTAGATTTACATTCTTTAAAAATCTTAGCCTACCTGAAACTGGATGGTTTGGAGTGGGTCTCACTTGGATGTGTTCAACCTTACTTGTGAAGTGAGTTGTGCGTGTGTGCCACGCTAACCAGACCTGATGAGATGTTTCTCACATCCCCCTGTATGCTGAAACCACTGACTTCACATAGCTGTAGCACTATCTATTTATTCATGCCCATGTTTGGGGACATGCCACTACTATAGTGAGTTGTGAAGAGTATCTTTAGGAACCCTGTGGTATATGTTCATACCAGTTCAGGACAGGACTGCAGGCTGGGCTGAAGGTGAATGGTATTATATAAACTTATGTCAGAGAATCTACCATCTATTTCTTCTTCCTCATGGACCAGGTGCATCCTTTGGCATTGTGATGGATAATGTACAAGTAGCTACTTCGAGCATGCTAGGAGGTCACAGTGTGGATGGCCGTACGATTGTGGAGGCTGTTTTTGGTCTGCTTCTTGGTCTGCTGGTGTTTGGAGTAATGCTGCTTCTCTGTAGGAAAGGCACCATAAGGTAGGTCCAGAGTCTTCACTCCTATTACATTGCTGAGCGATAAAGAATCTTAATAAGTTGGTTGGACTAGATTCTGTGGTCTTGTGGCACCTCACTGACACCTGAAACAAACCCTGTAGTCCCAATGCCTCCCCTTCATTAGAGCAACTTCATGCTGATCCGTCAGAGCCATGTGGCCCTAACACTGGTCTCCAAACTATTGGGTAGGGGGGTTTTTAGGGGAGATGGTAGCTCCAATACCACCGCCCATCCCTGCAACCTGGTACACAGTCCTGCCTGGGTGGTCTTGCATCCCACCAACGCTTGGGCCCTTGTCACTGTCAGAAAATGACATAAATGACAACAGACCACTCTGACTCACCCAGGAACCAGAGTGGTGCACAGTGGTCCTCCCTCAGGGGAATTCTTAGGTCACTCCAAGTTTCCCTTCCCTTCCTGCGCCAAGTACTCCTGGACTGCAGCTAAAGTCGCGTTACACTGGTTTCGTATCCATGTCCCATGCCACACAATTACTCATTGCTCGTAACCCTTTCCTTGCAGCCCTACATCTGGATGGAGAATTGCAATCACCTGCTTCATGCTCATTGTTAAATATTAATGTGCAAAAACAGCTGTAAATATTTGTTCTGCAGCTTCATACTCATGAAAGAGAATTGCAAAGCAGAGAAAAAACTACCACATCCTGCCTTAGAGTATCACCTTAGTTATTAATTATCTCTCATACAACTTTGCTCAGAGCTTTACAAATGGTGAGTGAGACAGTGATGGGCTTGGTCTGGCTTTCCAGATGCCCACTGAGCACCTGAGTGAGGACAGCTGCTGGGGGACCTCACTGCTTTTTGAGGATTGCAGATTGAGGAATATGACTTGGGGGGTTTTGACTGATCTCTTGGCCAGCAGTTAATTTCAATTGCTCATCCTTTGTTGGAGATTGCTTTCTAGTAAAGCAAGGGGTAACAGTCATTGCATATGTGGCCTGCTGAACACATCACTGTGTGTTTACAAACCAGGGAGAGCTGTGCTAGGTGGTGGCTTGTTTGGATGTGTTTCATAGTACAGAACAGAGGGCAGGAAGAGAAGAGGGAAATGCCAACATCACAGCTATTTGTGAAGTATCTCTGACAGCACTGTAGTATGTGTTTGTACTAGTTCAGGGCAAAAACCAAAGGCTGAGCTGAGGGTGGTGGTATTGTATTGTTTGGGGAGAGGTCCCTGCCCAGACCTTAGGGTGATTCTCCGTGTTGTCCAGTGTCTTCTGCAGGTATCTGTCCCACAAGCCACTGTGAGAGACATAAAAAGGTTGGTGTACACTTGCATTTTTTTTACCAGCATAACTGGTCTGGGAATGGGTGAGATCTTGCCAACATATTTATGCTGATGAAAGACTCCTCATCTCAATAGAGCCACCAGTAGCAGCACCTGTATGCTAGTAGAGCTTATTTCACGCCATCAAATTGGGATGAACTGAACCAGCATTAGGGATTTTTATGCTGATCTAAATGGGAAGTGCTATCACTTTAAAGATGACAGCATAGATAGGTGTCAATGAGGCTAAAGTTTCCAGAAGAAGACCCATGTAGCCAGGCTGCTGTTGCATCCCAAAGGACACGGTCACTGTGGACACTGGCTGTGTCCAGGCAGCTGGAAATCCGAAGCTCCCAAGTCAGGGTGCTTCTGCTTTTCCAGTTCATTAGTGTCATTTTTTTATCACTGAGCCCTGCTTGCAGGCACCATTTGTTTTTCTTGCTACTTGACAAGCACCAAGATGATTAGCATTTCCTAGCAATAAAATAGCGGCTTCGTTTAATTTCTAAATAAAACTCCAAACCCCATAATTGTGACTTGATTATTTATCTCCTAGTGACGTTAGTTTGGAAGCTGGACAGGCCTTTGAAATGAGCTTTTCACTGTGCTGACTGAAAGTTCATGAAGTAATAAAAATGCGGCTGAATCCAAGAACAAGCCCTTCTCTTTGGCTGTTCTTGTCCACTGCAGGGGCTGAATTCCAGCCAGGGAACAAGTGCCATTTTGGCATTTGTATCCTCGCTGCTGGTTATGCAAAAGTGGGAAAGTGAAAAGGATCAGCTACAGGCTCTGAGAGGTCTTCCCACTATGGTGACAATGCTCGGGGTCCATGGTGAGGAGAAGCTGCTACTACCAGATAAAGTGCCCTGAACCCTACGGGAAGCCATAGTCACAAAACCACCCCAATATTCTAACTACTGCTTAACTAACAAGTTGAGAGAGGGAGTTTGATACCCTTGAGGCACCCTGTGCCTTTAGACTGGCTTGCTTCTAACATAAAATATTAAGACCAATTCTGTGAAAGCAGAGCCATTACTCACAGGCCACAGTCGAGGTCGTGGTAGGCTCTCTGCCGATCTCTAGTACCGAGCACGATAGGGTGCTAGACTAGGAGTGAAGTTCCCGGGTTCTGTGGCACCTGATAATCGGAGATTATGGATTTGAGACGAGCTGGCTCAAGCCTTCTCAGTGTAAATGGTCATATTAGCTCAAGAGGGGAAAATTAATAATTGTATTAAGTGGGTTTTTTTTTCTTTCTTAACTTTCTTCCTAATGAATAATTCCTTCCTCTCAGGCACAATGGCTCAGACCTGCTGCATCCAGCTTTCTCAAATGACAACTACACCCATTTTCTGGGGGTGGGGAGGTGTGAGGAGGGGCAGCATACTATTCTACCTGGCATGTGAAGGAAAACCAGGTCACCAGAGGAGCTGCAAGAGCAGCTGGCAGCGTTAAGAGGGTTCATGTTTTTGAGCTGAAGATGTGTTTCCCCCCAGATTACCAACCATTCACTTGGCTCTGCTGCAAAACAGAATGGGGAACCAGGAGCCTGTGGAAGAACCTGGTGACAAAGGGTTTGACAACCCCATGTTCGATACGGCAACAAGCAAAATGGTACGTGCCTTCACTTTCTTCTCTCTTCCCTGGCTCAGAGCGTCACACTGCCGGTCCTACCCATGGCCGTACCCTCTGAAGGCCCAGCTGGGTGACCGGACCTTTTGTCTGTGTTGGTAGAACATCAGGTGAGGAGCCCCTGGGATGGAGGACCCGCTCAGCATGTGGGAGTCTAGTCCCTGAAAGCTACACCAGCGGACGGCCTGTGCGCCACTAAGGAAGTCTCATCCTTCACTCAAGGAAAAGAGCCCTGCACTGCTGTGGTAGTGGAAGCTCTTGAGGTCATCCTCGCTGCAGATTGCTGCGCAGCTCAGTGGCTGCACTGCAGCCAGAAACTTGTCACGGTGTGAGACTCGTGTTCTCACATTACACACAAAAAGGAGCAGGCGGCCTGTGTTTTGAGTGCATTTCATGCTACCTGGGTATATCCAGCATTTGGGGCTGAAGTGGGCTGGGAAGCCTGCTCCTGTGAGTTACCAGCTGTGGGAAGCTGGGCCGGAACTCCCCATTCAAAGCATAGCTGAGGCCTTTCATTTTCTGGACACCAAGTGGTGAAAACAGTGCTGGGGTAGAGATGTTTTAGAGAGAAAGATGTCCCTTACTTCCATGTGTACAGCCACCCTGGCCCAGCCAAAAGGAGCTGAGGGGAAACTTCTTCTAAGGGTTCTTCAGTCCATAAGTCAGCTACGGCATTTCTTGAACCCTCTGAGGACATCTGCCACTGGACACGGTTTGAGGCCCAAACCTGGGCTAGGCAGGAGTCTGAATCTGGCAATTCCCGTGTACGATACCTGCCAGGCACACACCCACTGTGTCACCAGGCTCACGTTTGCTTTATGTTGCAGTGACTTGAGCTTGCTCTTCCTCACTTTTCTCCTCTCATGCTTTCTCTCTGTTTTTGTTGTAGGAGTTATCTGAGGCATGGTCAACAGAAGAAGTGATGAAGGAAATGCCTAATAAAGATAGTGGGGTTTATTTTGTTAACCCTTTATACGATGAAACTGAAATCAGCACAGCCATGAACTAGCCTGGCCACTGTGAGCCTGGAGCCTGATTTCACCTGACCTAAATATTACCCATTGTAAAGGGCTAGTCATGGTGGTCTGTGCCACTGTGGGTACCCACTGATTCCAAAATGAGAATGATATTTTGCTAGTTAATCTAAACCCTTTCTGAAATGGTATAAGAGAAACAGGTCACTCCTGTCTCCACATGTATGTCCATTTGGGGTCAAACTGGTATAAAAGTATAAGCTTAAGTTCACATTTTAGCTTATACCAAATATAACTTGGCCAGGCAGACACTGACACTCTTCTCTGTAGTGTCAGCTGTGTGCTTTCTTCGCTTCCTATCCTACACTGGCGTGCAGCCGTGTTACTATGTGCTGTTAAAGTCGTTGAATGCCAGTAGATAGTGGAGTATCTCCAGATACTTTGCATCTCCAGAGTAGTCTATACCTTTGGAATTGTTTTAACCAGAATCATAGAAAAATAGGACTGGACGGTACTTCAGGAGGTACCTTGTTCAAGGGAAGATCACAACTATCTTAGACCGTGTTTATCTAACCCATGGCTGTGCCATGCAGCTAGTGCTCTTTGCATTGATTTGGCAGCAGCAGCAGCTGGGGGTCTTCAGGCTCCCTTCCCTTCTCTAGCTCCAAGTCCTGGCACTGCCTCAAGGCATGGCACAGACCACAGTGTGGGCTCCTGCCCACCATGGTGCAACAGGGAAGCCCACAGGTGGGGAGCTGAGGGTGAGCCTGGGGTGCCCACATGGTGCATGGCCCAGGGAGCCTGAGGCCTGCGATAGCGCGACCTGCGTGGCATGTGGCCCGTGTTGGACTAGCCCCTGGCTGCACAGACTTTAGACAGCCCTGCTCTAACCTGCACATAAAATCTGCATAGGGTGGGATTTCACAGCCTGTCTAGGTGGCCTGTTCCCATGCTTCACCTCCCTCAGTTAGAAATTTAATATCCAACCTAAAGTTCTCTTGTTTCAATTTAAGATGGTTACTTCTTGTCCTGTCCTCTCTGGACACAGAGTGGTCAATCCCTGTCCTTTTTATAAAAAGCCCTTATGTATTTGAAAACCATTAGCAAGTCTCTCTTCAGCCTCCTTGGGTATCTACACATGCAATTAATGTGAAGCAATTAACTCTGGAGCTTGTTGCTCCTGGGCATGCTGTTTGAATATGCGCCAAGGACTGCAGCATGTTGAGGTGGGTTGGAGCAGCCCCAGCTCGCAGGGAGTCCTAGGGAATCAATCTGCCAGCCTGGGGCTGCTCCCTGCTGGCCCAATGTGCTGCAGAGGGGCACGGGGCATGAGGGTACCCCAGTGCGGGGCTTGCCATCATTCAGCTCCTACACAGAAGCACCCTCATGCCCCAGCCATCCCTGTCAGCATCTGCGTGTGCCTGCTGTGGAGTTATTGTATTAGTGCTATCCTGCTGTGGAGTTAATTCATTTACTCCAGCCTAATAGGGGCACACACGTAGATGTGTGACACTTACTGTGGAGCTAATTAATCTACTGCACAGTAAGCGTCTCATATAGAAATGCTGCTCTTCTCCAGAGTAAATAACCCAATTCATCTAACCTTTCTATGTACAGCCTGTTTGCTAGAGCTCTAATCATTTGTGTTCATCTCCTCTGAACAATTTCCTATCTGGCCACCTCTGTTTTGAACTGCTGTGCTCAAAACTGGACACAGCACTCCAGGTGAGGCCTCATTGGTGCTGAACAGAGTAGAAGAGTCACGTCCGGTGACTTGCACATGCCACTCCTGAGCCATCTCTAAGTGCTTCCACAGTTTTTGGTGCTGGAGTCCAGTTTAAAACAACACTCAGCTGCTCCGTTGTTTTCCAGTGCCGAGCTCGATGCAGCAAGGTCTTACATGCAATCAGCAAGTGGTTTATGTGTGCGTCTGAAGCAGCAGCCGTGGCAGGAAACATTTGAGTCATCTTCTGGTTCCCTGTGTTCATCACTTTGAATATCTGAATCTTATTTCCCACCCCGCCAAGAGGGTTGCACAAGACCTGAGCAAATATTCCTCTCCCTGTTTTCTACTGAAATGTTGTCACATTGTGGGTTTTTGCCTTTCCTCTTAGTCAAGCTTGACATTTGTTACGAGAACATCTTGGAGCTGCCTTTGTGTTTGTCATGTTGTTCCCTGAGGTGAGAGAGAGCAAATAGTTTATCAGGAAGATAGAGGAGTTGTAGGAGAACACTAGTCTGGAGCATTTGCTTCCTACATGACATTCAAGGACATGTTCAGTGCTAAAGTAGAGAGAGGACTAAGAGGCACATCCTGTCCCTATCTACTTATGACATGTACCCAGGAGCAATAAATGGAAATGCATCTAGTCACTGATTTTTTTTTTTAAGGCCAGAAGAGATGTTTGTGATAAGCTAGTTTGACCGCCTGCATAACAAACACAGCCCCTAGGCCTGACAGCGTGGAAGTGTACGACTTAGCTTTGCCTTTCTCTCTGTGGCCTCTCTCACATGCCTTGAGCACTCCACAAATTAGTGCAACAAGCCTCTCTTAGTGGGAATTCATTACAGAATAACTTTTAAATGAGTAGGCAGTGGATTCTGAATGCATGGAAATATATGCAAATGATTGCAGATTTGCAATCTACTGGGTTTTCAGTAGGGCTTGTTGGCAGGTACCATACAGAAGGAGCTATGTTACTTTCTGTTTTGTTTTGTTTTCGTCTTTGGAAGATATTATCCTTTTTTTTTCCAAGGCCTTGGAACACATCTCTCTCTCTATGTGTGTGTATGTATATGTATATATCTCAGCCTCTGACAAAAATGTGACAGCTAATATATGGTGTTTAAATGCATTACATGTGTCTCTGGGCTAATGGCCCACAAGAGAGTCAGACAAAATTGAATTTGCCTGTCAATGTGTTTCACTCCTAGACCAAGCACTTTCCAAATGCAGCCTGGTGCTGAATGGCGCACTCACCTCAAACACTGCCATGAATAGGGCAAGGTTCGGGCCAAGGCTTTGCCTACACACCCCAGCCTGGGCTACCACCATTGGTGCTGTGTCCTACACTTCCGAATGGACCATGGCTCTATGGGAGGGGCTAGGTCCCAAATATCTCGTCTCTGCATTTTATGGCAGCTTCACGAGCCCTGAAGGAGGAGTGGCTTCTGTCTGTGAGCCAGAAAGAGAAGTTGGAGAGCATGAGTAGGAAAAAAATGGCTGGGAAGGAAGGGCTAGGCAGGGTGTTTTGTTTTCTTTAAACCGAGCAACACTCCCTGGAAGCCAGATACAGCAGACGCAGCAAGTACAACTAGGGGGTGGGCAGCAGAGCTGGGGGGGAGGACAGGAGGTGACAAATGGGGAGGTTTGAGGCCATGGGTGAATTAACCCGAGTCCCCTACAGGTGTCTTTTCGTGATCATCGGTGTGGTGGAAGTGGCAAGGGCTCTCCCCAAGGACACAGCCCCTGGTACCGAACGCTTCCTGCCCACGTGTGATGAGCCACTCTCTGTCTTGAAATGAGAGCAGGAGAGGAGCGGTGGGAGCCTCGCTCTAGTGGCAGGCACGCGGGGACAGCGGCTAGGCCTGACTCCCTGCATGCCAGTGGTCGGGACACCGCCCCAAGCCTGGCTGCATGGCGGTACTGTAGGGCTTTGTCAGTGTCGGTGGGAAAAAAGAAGCTACGTGAGACACATTTCCAAGCTAAATAATCTCAGCGGCAAAAGCTCAGGAGCAGAGCATGAGGGCACCAAACAGCAGGCAACTCAACACAGGGAGCGCAGGCAAAATCAAGGTGCTGTGCATGTGCCCTCCTGGAAAGCAGGGCCAGACCCATGCGCCAAGTGCTGAGCAATGCCAGGCCTAGCTCTTGGCCCAGCCCCGTGCTGGGCAGTGGGGCCAGCAAGCACCTGGCCGGCTCTCTGTTGCTGTAGCCACTGAATTAGCGATGCCATGGTAACTGTATGCTGGAGTGCAGGATGTTAATTTACAAGAGTAGATTTTTCACAAGTGCCTGAATGAGTCTGTCTGCATCCTGCACCAGGCAGCAAGGCCCCCGCCCCCACCGCCGCCCTGCCCAAGACTGGTTGGGGGTGGACCTGGCAGCCTCTGCTGTCACACAAGTGTCCTGAGTGACCTCAGGCTGTGAGGGCCACAGAGACGTGCGTGCAGGGATGCTCCCGGGGGGGGGGGGGGGGGGGGGGCACGTGACAGCGGGGGTAGGGGCACGCAACAAGGGGGGCCACACGCCCCTTTT